GTGCATTGACAACATATGACAGCCTCAATATTATCCTCAACTTGACTTAAGGAATATAAGCACCAACCAAGAAGTCGCACTAACTATGGCCACCAGATCAACCGTATCGATATACGTCGTACAGTTTCCTTGGTCTATTGCCATTTACCTAAGGTACACTAGATCCGGGTTAGGACCTTTCACACATAAGAGCACCCCAACAATATAATAATAAAGCAAACAAGGCAAACAATTTAAAGTGATCTTAATTCCTAAGGGTACCCCTCTTAAATAGATCCCCAGCAGAGTCGCCAGTTCTGTAACACGGTGGGAGAACTGACTTTAAACAATGTTGCGGATAGCAAGAGTCGCCACCGACTTTTATTTTATCCATAAGGAAAGGTTATAAAAGAACAGGAAAGACCTTAGAGAATATTTTGGGTCCGGGGGGTAGGTTATGAAAAGGGAAGGTATTAGCATCCTTTTCATCCATGGTTATCCATGGGCTCTTAGGTACTTAAGCTCACTTTTGAATTGTTTTGAAATTGTAGTGTGTGAATAGAAAATTTTCAGAATAGTTAATAAATAATCCATGTAAGGATGTGTTAAGAACTTGTTTGAAAACTTGTTGAAAATTTGTTTAAGGGCGAAACAGTTTTGAAGTGAGCAAGCACCTAGGAGTAACCTACCCTAATGTTTAAAGGTCTTTCTTATTCTTCATTCTTTCCTTTAGTAAGACTATCCCTACTATAATGGAGTAGGTAGTCCTTACTTTGGATGTTAAGGGACATGTGAGGGACAATTTGACTTTGAAGGCCATTGTGGGATGTAATAAGCACATATAAGGGACCATCATCATTTTTCGAAAGGGACTCGATTCGTAAAGGCAACCATAAGGGACTTTGATGATTTTTCTATTTGAGGGACTTGCTTTATACACCCCACTTAACCATTATTCGTAGGCAACTTGAGGGATATCCTTAGGAAGTGAGACGACGATTAAAATCGACTTACGTGTGTGACGTGTTTATTTTTAATTATCTTTATTTAAAAGTGATCTAAATTTATTTTAATATTACATACATGTTGTTACACTCCCTAATTACTAACCATAATAATAATTAAATAATTAAACAACTTTACCTCCAAGAAACAATTACAAAATAATAAGCAAAATAATTAAATAGCAAAGATAAATAAAATATAAATAAGCAATAATAAATAATAAAGGGGGTTAGTAAGCAATATTTAACAAAATAATAAGCATGATTAGAATATAAATGGGTTAGTAAATAAGAATAAACAGAATTAATCCAAATATTATAATAATAAGAAATTAACAATTTTTTAATATAATCAACTAAAAAAAACAAATATGAATAAACAATTGTTTTAATTTACAAATTATTAAATTATATTTTAATCATGAAGTTACTACAAAAAATCTAATTATTATAAGCACAATTATTTATAAACTAAAGTTATGTAAAAAAATATTTATAAGTATATTTACAAAAATTTGTAAGAATTATAGTAAACATACATACATAATAATTATATTAGAAAATAACATTAAAAAAAAATAGGATTAGATTTGTATTAAAAATATTTTTAGAGTTTTATGAAATTAGGGTTTATATGAGAAATAAATTTTTAGGGTTTATATAAAAAAAATAGGATTTAGTTATACACAAAAATTTTCTAATTTATACATATTACAATTTAGACATAAAATATAGAAACAAAATTTGTGAAAAAAAACATATTTTTTAAAATTAAAGAAAACAGACATATTTTATTATTATTTATTTATTATTGAGAAATATACATAATATATTTAATTTTTAATATTATAATATTTAAATCAAATAAAAGGAAAGAAAAAAAAGCGGAAACTTACCTGGCTGAGGTTTGAACCCAGGCCAGCTTGATTTCCAGGAAGCACAACAACCATCAGGCTGCGGATTTTGCAACGTTTTCTCCTACGAATATTGTTACGAGTTCTTCCACCCTGCGAAACACAAACTTCATCCAAACGGCAAAATTTCACAAAATTGATTGCACCATTGTATTGCTACTGAGTTTTTCAATCGTCCTATGTTTTTCAAATCCATTTATCATTTGAAAATCGTGAAACCCTAAAGAGGGCCGAAAACCCTAATCATGGTGAATTCTTGTTCCTGCAATGAAAATCCAATTGAACCACCCAGAATCGTTCTAGAGTTCATTCTAAACATCCTACAACAATCAAAAACAGTTTAAACATGATAAATCAATGGATTCGAAAACAAAATATTCAAGGTCAAGATGAACTCGGGTTGAGCAATTGGGTGTGTATATGATGCATATGGATGATGATTTATGATCAGAAGAGTCCAAGGAAGCTTGCTATGTCTTCCAAATACCTTGCAATGCTCTGAATTTGAGAACCCGAATATGACTTTTTGAAAGATTTTTGTGCTTTTGATCTTACCTTTTGGCTGCTGCAAATTTGTCTCTAGGGTTATGTTTGTGCTTAGTATATATGTGTGATGGATTTAGGTCAGAATCATTGATGTGTTGTGTGGATATTTGATCCAAAAAATATTCAAAAAGATCATTGTATAAATTTCAAATATTTGATCATGAGTGCTTGCTATTTTGGGAGAGATCACATGATTTCCTTCTCATTCTAATTCAATCAATGATTATGAATTTCTAGAAACAAAATCTTCACCCACAAATAGATTTTTATATTTTTTATTTATTTAAAATGATTTTTATGAATTAAATCAATAATAAATAAATAAAAAATAATAATTTGGGAGAGATCACATGATTTCCTTCTCATTCTAATTCAATCAATGATTATGAATTTCTAGAAACAAAATCTTCACCCAAAAATAGATTTTTATATTTTTTATTTATTTAAAATGATTTTTATGAATTAAATCAATAATAAATAAATAAAAAATAATAATTTGGGAGAGATCACATGATTTCCTTCTCATTCTAATTCAATCAATGATTATGAATTTCTAGAAACAAAATCTTCACCCAAAAATAGATTTTTATATTTTTTATTTATTTAAAATGATTTTTATGAATTAAATCAATAATAAATAAATAAAAAATAATAATTTGGGAGAGATCACATGATTTCCTTCTCATTCTAATTCAATCAATGATTATGAATTTCTAGAAACAAAATCTTCACCCAAAAATAGATTTTTATATCTTTTATTTATTTAAAATGATTTTTATGAATTAAATCAATAATAAATAAATAAAAAATAATAAAAATGATGAATTTTGGTCAATTGGGTCGTGCACCATGTTATGAGATGGATTGGGTCATAAATTAGGCAGCCCATTTGGAAAGAAATACTTCTAAGCCTCCATTTTCAACATAAACCATCACAAAATTGCCCAACTTTGCAAGGGCACATTTCTCTCAATTTTAAAGGTATGATGGTGTTCTTGGACTTTTTGGAAAGCTTGAAGAGTCCTCTAAACAACCCCATTGGTTTCAGGTCCATATCATTTACCAATCTCAAGTTATGCCCTTTTGAAGTTGTTGACTTTTTGTTGACTTTTGAAATGACCTATAATGTCTTAGATCATATCTTTCAAATAAAGTATTTTTGGGCTTAACCTTCAACATCAAAGTTGTAGAGAATTCAATTTCCTTCAAAATGAGCTTTGGATGGAGACTTGGTGATGAAGTATGTGAAAGTTATGCCTGGTCAAAGTTCAGTTGACTTTTACTGAGGAAACCCTAATTTAGAAACTCCTGATTATTGATGATCTGGAATCTCCTTGATGAATCATGATCAACCCTTGATCAAATGATGAATTTTACTTCATATACTTGATGTTGGCAAAAAATCATGAAGTTTGACTTTGGTTTGACCACAGTTGACCTCAGTTTGACTTTTTAACTGCATTGACTGCTTTTGACTTATCTGATCATCTGACTGAGCAAACTTTTGAGAAAAGTCTTGAAACTTGACATGGGGGTTCTTATACACATATAAGATGTTATGAAGCTCACTTGAAGTCTTGGAAGTCCATTTAGCCTGATTAAAGTCAAAACCCTAGTTTTGGATGCACTGCTTAGGAGGTGCATTGTCTGAGGGAATTGTCAACTCTTCTGACCAATTGTGAACTTTGTGAACCTTGTGAATCTTCATAAGATATCTTGTGATACTCATGGGAGGTATTGTGAAGCTTGTGAACCTTGTGAACCTTCTTAGAACACAAAGTCTTGTATTGTGAGGGCAAATTTTGGGGTGCAACAGGTACGACATTCTATGCAAGTCATCGGTATCACAGACTCTCAAGTCGAGAGACGATGATACGTTCACCATTTCTGGTTTCGAATCATTGTAAGGGTTTTATAGAGATTTGATAAATTGTTCAAATATAATTTATGTTGTTATAAATTATAATACTCCGAAAATTAAAAATATGTTAATGATAAACATTTATTTATCATTTTATATAAAATAATTATTTCAAAAAATATTAAAGATTTTCTTTATATATTTTTAAAATTTTCTTTTTGAAAAAACTCTTCCTTTCCCTCCTCTCATAACTCACACATAAATTTTTAAATACTTCTTTTGATTTTAAAAAATTATTTAAAAAATTATTTAAAGTATTTATATTTTGTTCATCGTCATCTTTTCTTTCATTCATCCTTTTATTTCAAACAAAGAAAACTTCAAATCAATATGAATCGTTATTCTAATTCAAACTTAATATCACTAGGTTTTACTTCTGGCGAAGTTTTTTTATCTTACGGGAGTTTCATTAAAAACTCTAAAAAGAATTGTGGTAACTATTTTTCTTTGTAATCATTGTCCATGTTTTAAGAATGTCAATTTGTTTGAGTTTCTCTCCATTATTTGTATTTAAAATTTCTTTTCAATTAAAAGAAATTCAACTATTTTAGATTTTTTATTTTATTTTAAATAAATAATTTTGGTAGGAAGGAAGTATTAGGAAAGCCATCGTGTAGTAAAGTGAAGCAAGAGAGAATGCAATCAAGTAGGCTTTTGTTGTGTTCCTCCCATTCGTTGGTTGGACCAGCCGTCACTATTACTCTCCCCCCTTGTCTTAGATTCCCACCACACTCCGTATCCATCGCAAATTCAACTTCGTCTTCGATTCGCCTACCACGCCTGCGCTCCACTACTTCATGTACATCTCTCTCTCTCTCTCTCTCTCTCTCTCTCTCTCTCTCTCTCTCTCTCTCTCTCTCTCTCTCTCTCTCTCTCTCTCTCTCTCTCTCTCTCTCTCTCTCTCTAACGCAATCTTCTTTTGTTCACCAGCGAGTGACTCTCCGCAAGTTCCAGCAATGGCTTCAAAGGATTCTCACGCTCAAGACCCGCGTATAGCTGGAATCTCATCTGCGATCCGTATCATCCCGGACTTTCCCAAGCCAGGTCAATACTCTTTTTTCTCGATCTATAGATTTTCACTCTTTGATTTTCGCTGTATGATAATTGATATGGTTCGTTTTTTCTCCATTGTTAGGGATTATGTTTCAGGATATAACCACACTGCTTCTCGATACAAAGGCTTTCAAGGATACCATTGATTTGTTTGTTGAGAGGTACAGAGATCAAAACATTTCTGTCGTTGCAGGTATTCTTCAATTTTACCCTATTTCTATTGGCATTTTCGTGTTTCTGTTTGCTTGGTCTTTGTGAATTTATCATAATGTGCAGTCGCGTAAAGGTTTTTGCGATTTCGGTATGAACCGATGTCGTGACACTAATTGTGGTTGTCTCAGCGTGAATTAACCACAATTTGTTATTTAATATAGAAAACGGTGATAACAGTATCGGCATCGGCATCTGCCAAAACCGTTTTGTTGCGGCCATTTTTGCAGTTGCCGACAGTTTTTTAAAACCCTTCCCTAAACCCTTTTACACTTGAGATTTATATGTATGATTAGAAACTAAGCTTAGGCTTTAATTAACAATTACTGAAATAACAGATTAGATTACATTCTGTTATAGCTTAACGGTAGCTTAAGTACTCTAGATGCTTCATTTTTTTTTAATTTTGCTGTTTTTGAATCTTCTTAAATCAAGTAAGTAATTTGTATCTGATGCCTTTATTTATGACATAATGCAGGCGTTGAAGCAAGAGGCTTTATTTTTGGCCCACCCATCGCATTGGCGATTGGAGCAAAATTTGTTCCAATGAGGAAACCCAAAAAATTGCCAGGTATGTGTTTTGCACAATTGTCCTTAGCATTTATATGCATATAGTATCTTCTGAACTTCCTAGATAGCAAATTATTTTGATTTGAGATCTTTGAACCTCTGAATTTCATATGGTATTCTAATTTTAAGTTCTGTACTTCACTGTGCTAATGTTGATAGCTCTAGCAGTTTCTGTGATGGGGAAGATCTTTGATTTGTTTGAATGGTTGTGTTTGAATTATCTTTTCAGGAGAGGTTATCTCAGAAGAGTATTCTTTGGAGTATGGAACTGACAAAATAGAAATGCACGTGGGGGCTGTACAAGCTGGAGAAAGAGCCTTAGTCATAGATGATCTTATAGCCACTGGTGGAACCTTAAATGCTGCGATTAAGCTACTAGGTAAACTCGCCAATACGACTGCTTTATTGACAAAGAAAAATCCTTTACATGAATGTAGGGGAGATTAATTCTTCTTCTGTTTAACAGCTATGCATGAGTGGGGTACCTAGATACCCGTTTCATTGTTTAGTTTCATATGACAGGTCTATCTCTTTTAAGCTAAGTGCTGTGGGCTGGAAGGTTTTTTGTATCTTATATTAGAAGATAATTTGCAGTTTTTTTTGTGGATCGAAGAAATCTTTTTAAGTTGTCAAAATATCAGATATGAGCTTAGGCATTCCTAATGAATAAAAAAAGATCATCCTGTCAATGTTCGTAGATTTCATGATTTTCTTTCTTCTTTCTATTTGTTTTTACATTCAGAGAAGTAATGCATGTATGATGTTCCTTTAATGTGGAGACAATTGTGCCTCACATCTGGTGATGAACCTAATAGTATCCTTTGATCTGCCACAACAACTGTATTTCAATTAACATTTTTAATATAAAGCACATTTTATTCTATGTTCAATGCTTAACTTCAGCTTTTTGATACATTCTAAGTTATTCTGTTCATTTTCTCTTTATAACAGAACGTGTTGGGGTGAATGTTGTTGAGTGCGCTTGTGTGATTGAACTACCGGAGTTAAAGGTACAACCTAACCTAGATGATTGGCTCAATGTATTTCTCACACATGTGATACTTTTTAAAGCTTTTAATTTCATATTTTTAATTAGTTAAATGAATTCTGGAATTTGGATGGCTGTTATCTTTGTAAGTCAGCTTGCATTTCTGAAACTCAAGCAGCATAAGCAGAACTAAAAAATGGTGGTGCTAAAAATTGAATTACATGTTCAAAATTTGTTTATTGGGAGACATCTAAAATATTATTGCATAGACACAGTCTAAAGAGTAGTTTGTGCACAGAGCCCATTTTCTAATTTAAGTACCACCCAATAAGTTTTTTCCAAACCAACTAGATTTCATCAGTTTACTGAATATGTATCATATTCATATCCAACCAAGAATGTCTCGTGTGTCCATTTTGTTCCTTGATTCTGGTGTGGATTTGATTGCTGTTTTCCTTTGATCTATAATGTACGAATTAAAAAAAGTACAAAGGCACATCACCATATAAACTCCTCTCTACTGGCAATTACCTTCCATGGTTTGTTAGAGTTTCTTACCCTTGAAGTGTTGCTCTTATTAGTGGTAACGTGTGTCTAAGCAGGCTTGTCCTCTGACCTTTTATTTTGATTATAAGAAAGGAGGTAACTTTTTGCATGCTGCGAATGAAAATACATTGTTATAAATATTTCTCATGCTTTTGGCTTATTTCAGGGGAGAGACAAGCTGGGTGGCAGGTCATTGTTCGTGTTAGTTGAAGGAGAAGGAGCCTGATATTTGTCGATGTGATTGTGTTCTAATTATTCACCATTTGAGTTAGCTCTTGTTAGGAGCATTATTGATGACTTTAGATGAGATTTATTGCAAAAAGCTCGATTGTTTGTGAGCTCAGTTCACATTAAGGGTTATTTTTAAAATAAAAACGATGTGTATTTTTAGTAAAGAACCAAAAGAGTGGTCTGGCTCGAGCTGTATGCAACACTGTCCTATTTTAATATCGAAGACTTGTTTGCCATTTGGTAGTGGAAGATCCTATGTTATTTAGTTTTAATATTTAGGAATAAGTACAGCCATCTGTTTACATTATTACTACGTACAGATAGAGCTCTCCTTAGACCAAACAAACCTTGACATCGATACCAAACAGGGACCTGTGAAGGATTAAATTGAAAGGGTTGGGCTGGAAACAGAGGAAAGTTTGGTTGTCATTTCAGTCTTTGGATTCTTTGGATTACTTAAAAGATTGTCAGACTAATCCAATTCCACTCTAAGTAGTGTAAAAACAAATTATGAAAATTTGAAAATGCTTCTCTAATTCTGAAAATGTATTTTTGGATGTATCTTTCACACATTAAAACTTGTCTAGACTGAGTCTCATTCAAAGATTTAGTTCGGGTATGCATTTTTGGATTCACCTTATGTGTATTTCATATATTTCTAACAAAGACATTTATTTTGAGATAAATTGATTCAAAAATGCATCTTTAGATTCACCTCTTATAAAATACGGAAATACATTTTCAGATGCACTATGATCAAATCAAAACACGCAGATGCACTATGATCAAATCAAAACACGCTCAAATGAAGTTTACTCCAATTTTTTTACTTCAAATTTTAATCTGTAAATGTATCATTGTATTCACACTATCACTGATTTCTTTCTTTATTTTTAGTGTTTGTCTTACTAGAGTAAAATAATAAAGAAATTTCAACCACTATTGACTTTTCAACACTTTTCAACGTAGTAAAAATGATAGTATACGCTCAAACATTTTTTTTCAAGTTGTAATAGACCATTGAATTGATATCAGTTTACAATATTTCTATTACCAGACAATTAAATTTGAGGCTAAATTAGATTTGAATTTATGGATTTTCCTCATGTTTTTAACATTCTATACAATAATTATGACAAGTTATACTATATTTTATATTCAATGTGAAATATGTTTTATCTCAAAATATAAGGTATCTTTAATTTTAATTTTTATAAAAAAAATTCATTTGCAAAATGACTATAAGCAGTGACGGATCTATATCTAATACATTGGAGGAACTTGCCCACACTAACTTTATATCAACTAGATTATTACTGCATCCTATAAAATAATTTTATATTTGTTATTATTAAAATTTAAGGAATGATCCCTACTAAAACTATTAAGTTTTTTTTTAATTAAACGTAAGATAGTGTAAAACAATTGTTTGATCATATAAAAAAAATAATTAAATTATAGTATTAAAAATAAAATTAAATCATATAACAATTAAAAATAGTTACGTAAAAAAAGTCAATAGTGGTTGAAATTTCTCTTGTTATTTTACTCTAGTAAGACAAACACTAAAAGCAAAGAGAAAGAAATCAATGATAGTGTGAATTCAAAGATTGAAGTAAAAATTGGAGTGAGACTTCATTTGAGCGTGTTTTGATTTGATCATAGTGCGTCTGAAAATGCATTTCCGTATTTTATATGAGGTGAATCTAGAGATGCATCTTTGAATCAATTTATCTCAAAATAAATGTCTTTGTTAGGAATGTACAAGATACACATAAAGTGAATCCAAAGATCCATACCCGAACTAAATCTTAGGATGAGACTCAGTGTAGACAAGTTTTAATGTGTGGAAGATACATCCAAAAATACATTTTCAGAATTAGAGGGGCATTTTTGAATTTTCATAATGTGTTTTTCCACTACTTAGGGTGGAATTGAATTAGTCCGGACAATCTTTTAAGTAATCCAAAGACTGAAATGACAACCAAACTTCTCTCTGTTTCCAGCCCAACCCTTTCAATTTAATCCTTCACATGCCCTTGTTACGTATCGATGTCAAGGTTTGTTTGGTCTTAATCTTACTAAGGAGAGCTCTATCTGTAAGTAGTGATAATGCAAACAGATGGTTGTACTTATTCCTAAGTATTAAAACTAAATAACATAGGATCTTCCACTACCAAATGACAAACAAGTCTTCGATATTAAAATAGGACAATGTTGCATACAACTCGAGCCAGACCACTATTTTGGTTTTTTATTGAAAATACACATCATTTTTATTTTAAAAATAACCCTTAATGTGAACCGAGCTCACAAACAATCGAGCTTTTTGCAATAAATCTCATCTAAAGTCATCAATAATGCTCCTAACAAGAGCTAGCTCAAATGGTGAATAATTAGAACACAATCACATCGACAAATATCAAGCTCCTTCTCCTTCAACTAACACGAACAATGACCTGCCACCCAGCTTTTCTCTCCCCTGAAATAAGCCAAAAGCATGAGAAATTATTAGAGATAACATTAAGTTAACTCCATTGTCATAATTTACCTCTAATTGCTTTGTAGATTCTATGGAAGAATATATTATACGAGGAGCATCATCGGTTGTTTTGTCAGATGCTATATTTGATAAAGAGGCAATGTCTCAATGTAATTTCAGTAAGATATATAAACTTGCACAATCTGCTACCTTGTTGGGTAACCAAGCTGTGAATAGGTGACACTCCTATCAGAAATCGTACCTGTGATACCTGTGATACGATCTTGTTGGGGGTACTAGAGATAACATATAAGAGAATTAAGTGATTCCCCTTGTATTGACAAAGTGTATATAATGGATACTCTTATGTGTACATTTAACAGAATAATAATATACTATTTGTTCAATATCTTCTTCTTCTTCTCACTCTCACTATAACAGATCTGTAACAGAATTCTGTTACACTTGATGAACCTTCATGTTCATCTTCTCAAACTCTAGTATGGTATCACTCGCCGCCACGATCTAACACGCTTCCGTCATCCCTATCTTCTCTCCCAGCTCTGCATTTCCCTTCTTGGAGCTGTTCTACTCTGCATCAACCTTGCAAGTTCATTTTTGCCCTAGCTCTGTTCAACGACAATAATGGAATTCGACGACAATCAAGAATCAGGTGTCAAAGACTCACCTCCATCGTAACAAGGCATCCCTGGGTTTGGCACAATGAAATCGAACAATCGATTCGGTCCAAAACTCTCCATTCAGCTGCAAGAAAACAACTACCTTCTATGGAACTAACAGGTCGAAGGAGTTATCTTGACACAGAAGATACATCGTGTTGTTGTCAATCCGCCGATTTCGCCGAAATATACAACCACGCAAGATCGTATCACAGGTACGATTTCTGATGAATATGAAATGTGGTTAGTTCAAGATCAAGCTGTGTTTATTTGGTTACTCTCAACAATATCAAAATCGATTCTTCCACGTGTTCTTGCGTGTAAACACGCATACGAAGTTTGGGACAAAATTCACCAGTATTTCACAGCACAGATGAAGGCTTGGGTTAGACAATTGAGAGTGGAACTAAAATCCACCAAGAAAGGAGCTAGCACAATAACTGAGTTTGTGCTCAGAATTAAAGCCATAGCAAATTCACTTTTAGCTGTTGGAGATTCCACCACTGAGCAAGACCAAGTTGATGCTATTCTTGATGGTCTTCCTGAGAAATACAATCCTTTTGTTATGCAGATGTATGGTACTCCAGTTCCACCATCTCTTTGTGATGTTGAAGCCCTGTTATATGTTCAAGAAGCTCAACTGGAGAAGTTTCGACAGGATCAAGCTGCATCAAGTGTTGCTATGAATCTTGCTCACACAGGTCATGGAAACTCAAGCTCACAGAGGGATTACACACCCAACCATGGTAGGAACTCTAGACCCTACAGAGGTAGAGGCAGGGGAAGAACACGGCCTCCCAATGGTAACAGACTTACATGCCAACTATGTGGCAAATATGGTCATGCTGTATCCTCTTGTTGGCACATGTTTGATGAAAACTTCATGCCTCCCAATCCTAATGAAACTCAGGATAAGCTAAGCAGTAACATGGTGTTAAGTCAAGAGCAGTCTGCAGACAAGCCTCCAAATTCACAAGTTGTAGCAATGATGGCTGCTACAACCAATTCTATTGGCACAACTCAGCAATATAATCTTCCTGCAGAATTGGACTCGCAAGCATGGTTTGTAGATTCAGGTGCATCTCATCACCTTACTCCATACACACTCACCATTAACTCTATAGGGTACACAAGCTTTTGCGCTCCACTCATGCCTAAATGCAAGTTGACAATGAATGATATCCTTCATGTACAAGCTATTACTAGAAATCTTCTTTCTATTTCCAAATTCTCTCATGATAATCATGTCATATTTGAATTTTTGTCTAACAAATGCTATATTAAATCTCAAACTTCTAGACAAATTCTGGTTGAAGGAGTCCTAGATGCCAGTGGTCTCTACTGCTTTCCTCTTCTACCTTTGGAGTCCTCAATGTCTCACAATCTGCATACCACATTGAGTAAGTCATGTCAGGTTTAAAGCTATACAGCTGTGCAATCCACACCTACTTGTCAGTTGGATAGCTCTCTAGATAATACATGTAATAATAGTATGCTCTGGAATCATAGGCTAGGACATGCTAACTCTTCATCTGTTGCTCATATACTGAAGTTGTATAATATTCCTCATTCAAATAAACAAAAAAGTTTTTGCAAATCATGTAGTCTTGGTAAGGTTCACAGGCTTCATGCCCCTCTTACACATCATATGTATAGTAAAGCATTTGATGTGATATACACTGATCTTTGGGGTTCTTCCCCCTCTCCATCTAGTTCTGGTTTTAGGTATTATATTGCTTTTATTGATGCTCACACAAGATATACATGGTTGTATTTTCTTAAACAAAATTCTGAGGCTCTAGGTGCTTTTAAATTGTTCCATAACTTTGTTCA